GAGTTCAAATGTTTCATTAATGACTTGCTATAGCAAACTCATGTTTGATTTTTCTAGGTGCTTGCGTTGAAATTCTGCATTTTGAATTCTTTATTTTTTCTTCTCTCCATTCCAGCCTAGTTGTGCCTTTCCTGTCTGCCATGGCACTGAGGAACGCTGTAGGTTAGTGCTGAGTTATGTCCTGGAGGTGAGTCTATCAGCTTTCTAATGGTAATTCCCCTTGCTTAAAGCACACAGTTTTTGGTGTGTTCTGAGATTTGCTGAGTAACTTTTTCAAGGTGAATTCATGTCATTTATCTTCTTCTAGGGTTTGAAATCTGTTGACAGCAGCATTAAAAAAGAAGGTGACCTTCCTGCAGCTGACCCTAGCACCCCAATCCCTTTGAAATACGAAGATGAGTCCAGCAGTGGTGGTCCTGAATGTCTGGAAAAACAGATGGCCTTATTTTTAGACAAAAGTAAGTTGTATTGTTGTGCAAATAAGACCTTCTCCATTCTGCAGCAAACTGCTCTTGCTTTATTTTGATTGTCAACTCACTAATTACGCTGGCTATTGAAAAAGCAAAAATCATAGAGCAAACAAAATAGGAAAACAGTGTTTGCCTTTTGAAATATGAGAAGAATTGCACAGGATCTTTGATATGCAAAATACTCCAGCTTTTATTGGTAAATATTGAATGTTACTGCATCTTATTTAGATGTGGCTTGCAAATGACTTACATAATGATTTAATATTTGGGTTGTTGATAGACTTGTTCTATGATTCCATGAACTTGTCAGGTGGGTTTTTTTTGTTTTATTTTTAGCCAGTCTTCATTCTTGTCACTTGAAACTTTCAAAAGTTCTTCTTACAGTCTCTTCCTAAAAGAACAGAAACAGAGGTCCTGAAAGAAACAAAGTTCCCTGCAGAGTGATTAACCCTATAGGCATAATCAAGAGAAGAAAAAAATAAGAAAAAAAAATGTGTATTTCCAGGATTCCTTATTCTTCCTTGTCTTCCCCTTTGAAAAATCACTAGCTAATAAACAAATCTGGCTTTGAGTTGGTCGTTGAAGTGTTGCTAGGTTCCTTTTCCAGTTTTATGGCTGTCACTTGAGGGCCAACGACCTGCAGATGTGCAGTGATCATAGGATGTCACAACATCCCTGTTGGAAAGCTGCAGTGGTTCCGGGTAGTTCTGCTCGTACAGGCTGTGTGATTAATTTGTGCTGAGATGTGCTGAGACTCTCCACTGAGGCCAGCCCAGTGAGAGCAGAGTGCTGAGTTCAGCTTTCCTGGCGCCAGGCTCTGCCTTCTGCCCTCACAGCCTGGAAGAGATGACACATTTCAGCTGCTTGCCAGCTGGCACGTGCCATGTGCACTTACTAACTCTTCCTATTTAGAAACAAAAATTTTCTTAGGAGTGTGGGCGATGAGTGTTTTTGTGACATCTGTGCAGTGTTTGCTTGATTTCTAGTTCTGTGCTTAGCTCTTTCCTTGAAGCAGCCATATACTACTGCTTTGGGTCATAAAGATTGAGTTCAGCACAGTGGGAAAAATAAATTAAAGATAATGGAGGAACTTCTGCTTTTCCAGAAGTTGTTTTATTTAAATTGTGTAGTTTCAGTAGGGGGGAGTGAAGGAAGTATACAGAAACACTGCTATTTTTTGCTGAATTTCTAATATAAAGAGAATTTTTGACCTTTGGCATCAGGATTTCTAAGTGTAAAGCCAGAGGCCTTCTCTTTTTGCTTCCAAAACCACTCTAGCATCAAAGAAGCAACCTCCTTCATCTTATACTAAAGATATCTTATGACCAGTGTGAGAAAGCCAGACAGATGGACAGATATGGGCAGAGGACAGATTCTATGGATTTGGTTGAAGGCAAAACTCTGTTAATGGCTCTATCTTGCTTTTTCCAACTGCCACTTAACAGCAAAGTCTTGGCCATGGCCCCAGTGTTCCGGAGGTGCTTGGAACACGAGAGGTGGCTGCACTGATGTTGGCTGTGCTTGCTTGATTCGGGCACCCTGCTGTGAGGTGAAGCGTGTGGAGCAGTTGCAGGTGTTTATTGCAGGTGCAAAATGCAGCAGCGGGCAGGCGGGCACCGCTGCTGTGCAGGGCTGCGCTGGGGATTTGACCACAGCCTGCGATGCAGCGAGGAGGAGCCAGGCCCCTGCCCTGGCGTATGGAAAGGGGGTTACTGAGGGGCTCCTCTTTGCCTTCCAGTGGGCTCGTTTCCGAAAGGTCAGCACTGCAGTCTCTCAGGGATGATTCCAGGGTCCTGGCAGTATAAAATGAAGCTTCAGCTCATTCTGAAGTCGTGCAAGGCGTATTACGTCCTCTCTGATGCTGCCATGAGCCTGCAGAAATACGGGAGAGCTCTGCGATACATCAAGCTGGCGTTGCAGTGCCATGGTGAGTTACCAGAACCCATTTCTCCTCTGTGCAGTCACTTGTATATCCCTTTTGCAATGCCAAGTGCTTCTTCTATGTCTGATTTACCCTAGTGGCTTGCAGTGACAAGTCTGACAAGCCCACATTTAGTTAGGCTAAATGTCTAGCTGGTTTTCCACAAGAGAAGTCCCTAGGAAGAGTAAGTCTGTAGGGGTCTTTGTCTCCTGGTGGTGCAAAGGCATTTGGGGTTTGATAGGCAGAACAAAAGATCTAGAGTGCAGTTTTGGCACTTCAGAGCACTAAAGCTCGGAGAGGTTTGTCTCAGCGTCAAGTCATCTGTATCTGGTAATCTCTGCTCTTGGCACCATCCCTGCAAACAGAGTGTTTTCTCCTTGGAAATGCCTTCTGGTTCCCATTTCATCTCAATCTGACTTTCAGAAACACTGAATTTGTTCACCAACTTAATTGGAAGATTGGGAACTGTTTGCTCTGTGAAATGAGAAGCATCTCCAAGTATTACTGGATACCATTTAAAGCACTGAAACCAGGCTGTTTCTCTTATAACAGTAAGAGACTAACAATAGAATTCCATTAATTTAGTGTTGTAGTACTGCAGTTTTGCTTTCACAAAGCATTTTTCAGCTTTCAGTCCTCTAAAGGCTTGAGAATTAAGTTTAAATTGTAACTTCTAGGATTTTTTTTTCAGGACATATCTGGCTTCAGTAGATCTGTACAAATCCAGTTGTTTTTAGAGTCAGCTCTAAGATCCAGATGTGACCTGTTTCATTTCTGATATATCAGATTTACTGCTTACAATAAACAAAAAACCAGTTGCTCTAAACAACTAAGAGTTTCAGAAGAGGGTTTTGTTTAAGTTTCTCTTAGAAAGCATGCCTCAGTCTTTATGCAGAGGATAAGTGTGGCAAGTTTTAAATCTCTTTCTCTTCTCTCTCTCATCTATGGGCTTTTTGTTTCTGATAGATACCTACTGCTGCCTCTGTGCCAGCATGCTCCCTGAAGCACTGGTGTTTCTTTGTCAGTGCTTAACCCTCTGTGGAGATACCCAGTTAATGCTTGCCCAAAATGCAAACAACAGAGCAGCATATCTGGAAGAATTTAACTACCAGACGAAAGAAGATCAGGAAATATTGCACAGTCTCCACAGAGAGTCCAGCTGCCAAGGTATGACACTCATGTGAGAGCAGACAGTCCTCGTTCAGTTGTAATGGGCATAAATAATCTGACTGTTTCCTCAAAACAAGGCATTAGTATCATTTATGGAGGAGGGCTTGTCATGCTTCGTTTCTATTTCTCTTAGAAAAAACTTGGAGTACATATAAGGAGATCTTCAAAATACATTCTGTAATGTGCCTAAAGTCGTAAATAACTAAAAATAATCATTTAAATAATGGGTAAATGCTGTCTGCCAAGAAGGATTGGGGGGAATTTCTGATGTAGGGCATCTTGTTAGGCATTTTCCTCTAGATTACTGTAGACTGCTGTTTTGGAAATACTTTCCAATTTGAGGTTCGCATTTTATTTTCTAGTGTTTGCATGGGCTACAGACTTGTCTACAGACTTGGAGTGCCAACTTTCAGTCAGCTGTAAATGTTATGAGGCAGCCTATGAAATCTTACTGTTCAGTAATTTGAAAAATCAAAATCCAGAGCAGCACGTGCAGGTATTAAAGAGGATGGGCAATATCAGGAATGAAATTGGAGTGTTCTACATGAACCAGGCTGCTGCAGTGCAGACAGAGAGAATGGGCAAGTATTCTTTATGGACTTACTTATTAAGAATTTGGGTATGCTATTTCACTGAGGCAGAATAATGATTGTAGTCACTAATAATGCATGGGACCCTCTTTGGCCTTTCTGATTCAGGGGCACAGAGGGAACATTTAAGGAAGGAGTATCTGTGTTGATATTGGAAGAATTTGGGGTTTGAGTTTGTATAATCTTTGAACGTTGTATTTTAAGAAAACTGCTGTTCAGCTGATGTCAAATTCTTAATCTTGAACATAAGTTGTCTATAAAAGTCACTTGTTTCATACCATATGCAGACCTGCAATATCTTAAATATTTCTGTGGAATGTGTTTGAATTTCCTTTTATCATATTATATTATCTCTCATCTTTTCTTTTGCATCACAATTCTTATGAAAGTGTGATGAACATCAATTTTCATTCTCTTTTTTTGTCAAGTCACAAACTAAGTGGCAATTTTTAAATTCATTTTCCATGAATCAGCTCTGCAAAATTCCTAAATATTCCAAAGGGTCTTCTGTACAAAGTTATGTGAAAAATAACATAATAGAAATGCTTGCTCAGTATCTTTTAAGAATTTGCGATGAGATAAAGCTTATGTTTTGCTCCTAGTGAGTAAAAACGTATCGACAGCCGAACAGCAGCTCTGGAAGAAGAGTTTCTCTTGTTTTGAAAAAGGAATTCAGAATTTTGAGTCAATTGACGATGCAACCAATGCAGCTCTCCTGCTGTGCAACACAGGAAGACTCATGCGGATTTGTGCTCAAGCCCACTGTGCAGCTGAAGGCAACTTCAAAAGAGAGTTCTCCCCAGAAGAGGCCCTTTATTACAATAAGGTAACTTTTTGAACTTGTTTTTTAACTAGGGTCTATGCCCTAGTGTGCCTTTTATTGCATAACTTCTGTTAATATCCTCAGGTGCTTTAAATAACGATGGTCTTGCAGTGGAGATGCTTGTAACTTACCTAAATAGCAACTACAAAATTATAGGAGGTTCAAAAAGTTTGTGTTGGTTGAAACATAAAGGAAAATTATCAGCCTACTGGAAATGTTACTTCTAAGAGTCAAGAGCAAATTAATACTATGGACTTCTGTCCAATAACAGATGGTCCCCAAAACATTCTTAGAATAAAAAGCAAATGCATCTCTAGAGGGTCACTTTGATTTTGCACAAGAAAACCAGGTGATCAAAAGTGCGGTTTTCAGAGTAATTTCACTTTTAAAGATAAGTCATAATAACTTGTGCTGTCTGTCTTTCCCATTATCCTAATCCTAACTAAATAGGCTGGAGGCTGAGCCGAAAAAGTAACCGTTTAGCTTTTAAAATATAGATACTTCCTTTTAAAGTGGCAATTTATTATCATGTAGGGTTGATCTCTGCACTTACACATATTGTTATTGTAATTATTCAAAAAGCACTACACAGGTGTTTTCCTTTCTTCTCCCACTCTGCCTCCCCCACATGACAGTGTGTCTGAGCTAAAACCATGTAAGTTAATAAAGAAGACTCGTTTTAAATACCATTCTACCATTTGAATAATGGCTTTAAAGCTTTCAACAACTTTTAATAGTCCTTGATGGCTTAACATCTTAGAAGCAAAAATTTGTGTACCTGGAAAAGAGAATTAATAACAGCATTTAAAGTTGATTGGTTCTTAACAAAACATCAGTATTTCTGGTATTTTCTCCCCTTGTCCAGTAACTACCTACAATTACTTTATCTTTTAATTAGGCAAATTGAACTTTGCAAGTACATATACAAACCCTGAGGTAGGCAGTGGTAGAAACTTGGCCTCATTCTTTAAAATAATGAGAGCGAAGGAGTGCTTTAATAAAGCCCTGAAGCAAAAGGAGGAGAAAAATAAAAAGGAGCTTATGAGGACAGAGGGAAACTATCTGAAATATTCTTGTCAGTTGCTGCGTGTAGCTATTTCTGGTTTCACAAATGCAGCTTTTTTGTGGTTTCTAAGATGACAAAGATTCTGTTCGTGCTGTTTCAGCTTGATTCCCTTCCTCTGAGTGCTGTGATTTCTGGTCCTGCTGGTATTGCCAGCTGGTAAATTTAGGAGATAAAAGTGTGTGGCCATGATTAGCAGTATGAATGGATGTAAGGAAAAATTGAAGGAGGCTCACTTATGGTTTGAATTTACTCTTAAGAAAAAGTAGAGAGGAGTGGATTTCTAGTGGGTATAAATATATGCAGTAACAATATTATGTAACCTGTAGGCCATTGACTACTATCTGAAGGCATTAAGATCTCTAGCTAAGAGGGAGAGGCATCCAGCTGTTTGGGATTCTGTAAACTGGGAGCTCTCTACGACGTATTTCACGATGGCAACTCTTCAGCAGGATTATGCTCCGTTATCTAGAAAGGCTCAGGAAAAGGTAAGGGAAGTTTTGTGACAGCAACTGATAAAATAAGCTATTGTCTTCATTAAAAATACTTAATAGTAAGCAAAATTGATGTTTTGGTTCATGATATTGGATATCTTGTAAAGATTTATTGGGTAAAAACTTCTTGGAGGTAGTTCTTGTCAACTTGTTGTGTGTGTGTTTAGCTGTTGCTTAATGAAAGGATGATGCCACTTAACCCTTATACTTTAACTTAGGGGTGTTCTTGTTTCAAAGTGATCACACTGTGTCATTTTCCCTCCCTTACAGATAGAAAAGGAAGTTAGTGAAGCCATGATGAAGTCCTTGAAGTACTGTGATGTTGACACAGTGTCTCCCAGGCAGCCTCTCTGCCAGTACCGGGCTGCAACCATCCACCACAGGCTGGCCTCCATGTATCACAGCTGCCTGAGGAACCAGGTGTGGGGACAAACAGCTTCGTTCTGTCTCTGTAGCTAACATATAAAAGGTTTATGATGTGGGACAGTTGATTTTCTCTCTAGAGCTGGGATTTAAATTAGTTAACTTTTTAAAAATTGTGGTTTATTTGCAAGCTATTGTACAGTATACACTAGGTTTAGAGAGCAGAGTATCTTTGTAAAGTATATTAAAGTTTATGGTTCCATGTCTTCTAGGTACTTCCATCTTCCCATAGTGGAAGTAGTTGATGACAAATATTTAAAATGTTGTTTGGCTTGCATGCTGTGCTTTTCAGACTTGCTCATTTTCTAGCAGGAGGCTGTTTGCATATGATTTAATAAATCTTAGAAAACAAAATACAACTGTATGCTGACTTTTTAATTGTTCTTTCTGATTAGCTTAACTGCACTTGTGAAATTGTTAGCAATAGCTGTGGAAAATACAATAACTTGGGCAATTTGGTGATATGTGCCAGCATTTAGATAAACCATTTTATGAGCTGGGGAGTGATTGCTGGCGTCTGTAAACAGATTTTCTTTATTTTAATGGTTCTTATGTACCTATGAATTATCTGGAGACTTATGTGCCCTGTTTCAAATGCAGGTTGGTGATGAACATTTGAGGAAGCAACACCGTGTCCTTGCTGATCTTCATTACAGCAAAGCAGTAAGACTCTTCCAGCTCTTGAAGGATGCACCCTGCGAGTTCCTTCGTGTGCAGCTGGAACGAGTGGCCTTTGCAGAGTTCCAGATGGCGAGTGAGTCCAACTCAGGCCTCCTACAACAGTTGCCTAAAATATCTTTAAGCACATTATTCTGTTTATAGATAGTCCTGTTTATGAAGGCAGGAATTGCCTCTCAAAAACATCTTTCTCTGAAAGACAACTGTTTCATCTTACAGGTTTTCAATGTGCAACCTGGAATGTAGGCTTTTTTTAATTTTATTTTTACTTTTTTCCCTTTAGGTCAGAACAGCAATGCTGGGAAATTAAAGACTTTATTTGGAGCTCTAGATATAGTGGTGAAAACCAAGTGTGCATTTCAGCTCATCAGAAAAGAGCTTGCAGCAGAGTGTGAACAGGTAAACAGGAGATGAGGGAGGAAATAGTCAGATCATTTACCATGTGCCTTCGCATAGAACTGGCTCATTGGGAGGTTGCTCGGTTGTTTTTCAGTAAAACCAGTTGCTTCAACAGTATGAATGGGTTTTGAACCCATTACAGTAAATGAAACTGGATTGAATTTTTTTATTATTTTTTTTATTGTGCTGGATATAAAGCTTTTTTTCTTTATTTAATGCAATCTCTAATACTAAGCATTACAGTGTGGAAGGCAGTCTGTAGTCAGTGTTAACAGATGCTTGATGCATAAATAAAAAAAAATTCCCCATTCTACTTGCTGCTGCGTGTTCATCCTTTATCTACTCAAGTCCGGGTTTTCTTTCTTTTTTCCTTGTAGCTAAGGAAGGATGAAGGTAATGCTGAGAATGCGACATCTAATGATTCTTCCCCTGGCCTTAACAAGGAAGAGGTGTTGAAACTGCTCGGTATCTTTGAGTCCAGGATGTCATTCCTTCTGCTACAGTCTGTTAAATTGTTAACTTCGACAAAAAAGAAAATGGGGTAGGTTGAATCTTGATAGGCATTGAAAAACAGCATTGCTTAGATGCAATTCCTGATTATCATAAGTCTGCAAGCATGTACTGGGGCATATTGCAAGAAAAAGTGATGTTCACTTCTGCTCTTTTCTGGCATGGACCCTCCTGTACTTGGGAAGAGCAGAATTCTGCCTTGACCACCCAAAGCCTGAGTGTTGCATGGATTTTGTGAGAAATGGAGGGAATGGCCCAAGAGGAATGTCTGTTGTGTGCAACTGGGCAGCTTTTTTTATCCGTTCTTTTCTGGCAGTTGCTCAGGAAAGAGATGAGACAAAAAATAACCTTTGCATAGTACTCATCTTTTGATAGATGTTGATAATAAAATATTCCAGTGACAGTGTATTTTAGCATGCAAAGTATTGCAGAATCAGTGCAGGAACATCCCTAGTGCTAAGCGCAGAGGAGGATGCACATGGGGAAAAGACTCCTGGAATTTTCTGGTGTCTAAGGGAGCGTCATGAAGGAATCTGCTGCTGGCGGCTCGGAGCAGGCCCAGCCTGAAGTGGAGGAACATGAGACCAGGCGAGAGCCTGGGTGCCTTTTGAGTGGTGGTTTGGGTGCCTTGTAGGCTTAAAGCAGCTTTAAAGAACAGCTTCCACAAGGTGGCAATGTGAATGTGTGAAATGCAGAGCACTGACAAAGGGTAATTCATTTCTACTCTGAGCTGGGCCGCTGCAGCGCGTGTTGCTCGTCCTGGCACCGCTGCAGCGCGTGGAGCTCTGAGCTGGGCCGCTGCAGCGCGTGTTGCTCGTCCTGGCACCGCTGCAGCGCGTGGAGCTCTGAGCTGGGCCGCTGCAGCGCGTGTTGCTCGTCCTGGCACCGCTGCAGCGCGTGGAGCTCTGAGCTGGGCCGCTGCAGCGCGTGTTGCTCGTCCTGGCACCGCTGCAGCGCGTGGAGCTCTGAGCTGGGCCGCTGCAGCGCGTGTTGCTCGTCCTGGCACCGCTGCAGCGCGTGGAGCTCTGAGCTGGGCCGCTGCAGCGCGTGTTGCTCGTCCTGGCACCGCTGCAGCGCGTGGAGCTCTGAGCTGGGCCGCTGCAGCGCGTGTTGCTCGTCCTGGCACCGCTGCAGCGCGTGGAGCTCTGAGCTGGGCCGCTGCAGCGCGTGTTGCTCGTCCTGGCACCGCTGCAGCGCGTGGAGCTCTGAGCTGGGCCGCTGCAGCGCGTGTTGCTCGTCCTGGCACCGCTGCAGCGCGTGGAGCTCTGAGCTGGGCCGCTGCAGCGCGTGTTGCTCGTCCTGGCACCGCTGCAGCGCGTGGAGCTCTGAGCTGGGCCGCTGCAGCGCGTGTTGCTCGTCCTGGCACCGCTGCAGCGCGTGGAGCTCTGAGCTGGGCCGCTGCAGCGCGTGTTGCTCGTCCTGGCACCGCTGCAGCGCGTGGAGCTCTGAGCTGGGCCGCTGCAGCGCGTGTTGCTCGTCCTGGCACCGCTGCAGCGCGTGGAGCTCTGAGCTGGGCCGCTGCAGCGCGTGTTGCTCGTCCTGGCACCGCTGCAGCGCGTGGAGCTCTGAGCTGGGCCGCTGCAGCGCGTGTTGCTCGTCCTGGCACCGCTGCAGCGCGTGGAGCTCTGAGCTGGGCCGCTGCAGCGCGTGTTGCTCGTCCTGGCACCGCTGCAGCGCGTGGAGCTCTGAGCTGGGCCGCTGCAGCGCGTGTTGCTCGTCCTGGCACCGCTGCAGCGCGTGGAGCTCTGAGCTGGGCCGCTGCAGCGCGTGTTGCTCGTCCTGGCACCGCTGCAGCGCGTGGAGCTCTGAGCTGGGCCGCTGCAGCGCGTGTTGCTCGTCCTGGCACCGCTGCAGCGCGTGGAGCTCTGAGCTGGGCCGCTGCAGCGCGTGTTGCTCGTCCTGGCACCGCTGCAGCGCGTGGAGCTCTGAGCTGGGCCGCTGCAGCGCGTGTTGCTCGTCCTGGCACCGCTGCAGCGCGTGGAGCTCTGAGCTGGGCCGCTGCAGCGCGTGTTGCTCGTCCTGGCACCGCTGCAGCGCGTGGAGCTCTGAGCTGGGCCGCTGCAGCGCGTGTTGCTCGTCCTGGCACCGCTGCAGCGCGTGGAGCTCTGAGCTGGGCCGCTGCAGCGCGTGTTGCTCGTCCTGGCACCGCTGCAGCGCGTGGAGCTCTGAGCTGGGCCGCTGCAGCGCGTGTTGCTCGTCCTGGCACCGCTGCAGCGCGTGGAGCTCTGAGCTGGGCCGCTGCAGCGCGTGTTGCTCGTCCTGGCACCGCTGCAGCGCGTGGAGCTCTGAGCTGGGCCGCTGCAGCGCGTGGAGCTCGTGCTGGCGCCGCTGCAGCAGCTCGTGCAGGGCAGCACCGGGGCACACTGAGCCAGGCCGCTGCAGCGCAGCACCCACGGCGCCTCGCTCCGCACCAGCTCCCTGCGCTCTGCTGTGTCTTTGTTCCCCTCCACGTGATATTTGGACTTACTGAAGGTGAGAAGGTACCGCCTGCGTTGTCACCCTCTCCATGTGGGGAACAACAGGAATTGCTTCTCTTTCTGGAGTCACTCTGCAATACTTTGGTTACTAGCATTTCTTTGTTTGAAATGCTGAACGGGGGTTCAGGATGTAAACTTTTTTTGTTATGGTGGGAGAAATCACAATTTTCCTCTCAAAGGCAATGGCCTTTTTTTGCAGTGATAAAAGTGTAATCTCTCAGTTGCTCCGGTTTGATATTTAATGAAATATACTTTGTAAGCAAAGCTTCACTGGAACACTTTAACCAGTAGCGGGAACTGAAGTTGTACAAGAAGATTGCTCTCCAATGTGTGGACAAGCTGCTTCTACCGTTACTACCCTGCACAGAAGGATGTGCCTTTCCAGCGAATAGTACCCATCCCTGGGCCTTTAATTTACACCAGAAAGTGATGGGTTATAGCTGTGTTTGGTTGTTTGAATTGATCAAGAATAGTATTTTTGAGACTTGAAACTGTGAATAAATGAGAGCATATTTTTAAATAAAAATTTATTTATTAAATATAAATCCATGAATCAGGTTGTGTTGTTTTTAGTGGCTGTGACCCTTATGCCTTCATCAGAGAAGCAAACTGCTCTGGAGAGTGAAAACCTTTAAAGGGCAGTGAGGGCGCCCTGCAGGGGTTCTGCTCTTGGTTGTAATTACCCTAATTAACATTTCAAGCACCCCTGGGCCAGGCAAGCTGCCTCTGGCTCTCAGCCTTGAGAATGGCCCTAGCACTGGCTCTTCTCTGAACACAGTTGGTGCCCGGGTACCATTTTCCTTTTGCCCATTTTATTTTTCACTTTTTTGCTAAAGCTGCTGCATCCTCTCCTGCTCGATCAGATTTGATTTTTTTTTTTGAGCTTTTTTAAGGATTTGCTCTTAGCAGCAAGTATCTCAGAACACACAAAGGCACCTCCCTGCGGAATGGTTCAGCCTGGCTCTGATTTTAAGGGATAAGCTGTAGTAATTCTGCTGCTCCTAGTGCCCATTCTGAGGTCCTCAAATATAAAACTGTGTCTGGAGCCCACAGGAACTTTCCTTTTTGTTTTTCTTGAGTTTAGAGGAGGTACATGTACATACATGTGTGTGGGGAGGATGTATGTACACACACACACACACCTATATACACCTATGAAACCCCTGTGTTCTCTTTCTCTCAAGGAAGAGGCTGAGGTAGAAAACTTTCTTGCTTTAGTTTCTGCCTTGAGTTGCCAACGCACGTGGAACCAGTTTGCGTTGTTGCTAAACTGCTGTTCACTGCAGGGCCTCGAGCAGGACTCATGCAAAACCCCCGACTGCTGCCATGAGGGGCATTGCTGAGTTAGTTAAATATATATATTTATATATATTTAAGCCTAAACAGGTTTCTGTGTCTTCCCTTCCCCGCGGTGGGGCTGCATAGGGGCTGTCCTAACCCCTGCTGAGGGTGGAGGTGCAGGACGTTGCCCAGGAGGGTTCTGAAGGGCGATGACTGCAGGGCCCAGGCCTGCAATTGGTGCCATGAGGAAACCTAGCAAGGGTCGGGGGCAGAAAAACCGCGTTTGTGATAAACTGCGTCTCGAGAGCGAGGGAGGTGAGAGGGAACTGCGCGAGCCCGCTGCAGACGAGCAGATCTGCTGGGCAGCCATTAGAAAGGTGAGAGGACAACCCTTTAAGTCTATGCAGCCATTAAGAGTAGTAGGTAAGTGGGTTTTTTTAAATTATGATGCCTGATGTAGCATCTTAAAGCAGGGGGGCAGCGCCCGCAGCAGCGCAGCTCCCACCTCACCGGGAAGGGCTCAAGGCCCGTTCCAAAGCGCCGTGCGGGAGCAGCGCGTGCTCCGCCGCGGCCTGGGCCCTTCCCGCAGGAGCATCCCCCAGCACCGACACAAAACCTCTATTAAATGCCTAAAACACCCCGGCCGGTCCCGGGAGGCGCCCAGGCCCCGCGGGGCAGCCTGTGGAGGGCC